AGTCTGGCTGCTGTTGGATCCACTTCAAAATCTTTTTTGTGTAAGGTGATGTATTTATACCATCCATTTTCCAGGGCCTTGAGTCGGGAGATCTGAGGGAACTGCCAGTCGGTGTGCGAGGGTGATGACTGCAGGGCACAGTAAACTGCTGGTGGCACTGGCTCCATCATGGCCTTTAGCCCTTCCTGGCCCTCATGTTTGCCCACGTGTTTGTCTTGCTTCAACCTAGTGGAGCTGTTCTCAGCATACATCAGGCATGAGCTATGGGTTAGCCAAAATCTGAGCAGGAGTAGAGTAAATAGTCACCATTCCTACCTGAAAAAGATGAGCAGAACTTCCAGTGTTGATGTTCTTGCAGTTGAAAGTCACCTGTATTTATTTAATCATCTGAATCCAGCCCTTGGCAAATATCAGTGGAGCAGTAGAGAAGATTGGTTGTGTGGGCACTCATTCTGTTCTGGAACTGCTCAGGGATGGTGACACTAGGAATCACCAGGCTTGCTTCACTATGGAGAGTCGATTTGCCTTAGGAACAGTAACTGTCACAAAAGTGCATGCAACTTTAGGGAATATGTACACAGAGGAGAGTTATGTCTGTATCACTCTCTAGTAATTTGTTCTACATTCACTAAACAGAAATAAATTGACTAGGTGCAGCAGGGAGTTGATAACAGGATAAAAGCCATAGTTTCAGCTTCCCATGAAGTAGCCAAAAACCCACAAGTACATGTTTGTTTTAAGACCACTGAATTAATCTTAATAGACTTGTTACTTGCGACAAAAAGAATATTCCTTAATATGCAGTCTAACTCCTTTTTTTCTTTTTGTAAGTCATTGGAAATTGTTTTCTAGCTATTGTTTTTGCAAAGGGTGCAATAAGGCTTGTGAAAAGCAAATGCTGCGTGAAATTACAGTGTCTGAGATCCATTGTTTGACATCCTTGACTGAAAAATTACACAGTGTACTCCCTGAATAATAATTTACTTCAAATGATACGCGGGCTTAAAAGTACTTCTGGAGCTCTACATTTTGCTTTTAGGACTACGGGGAAGTTTTCTGTTCCCTGGATGATACAGACAGTGTCTTCAGACTGACAATGAAAGTTTCAGACAGTTCTTAAGATAGCTCTGTCCTATCATTCTTTCCTGTTTCAGGTTGCTTCAGGTGCTATGTACTAGAATTTATTTCTGATATTCCTGGAGTTCTCAAGAGTTTTGACCTGCCTTTAAAGTAGAGTCTAGAGATGCTACTTTCAATTTGTTCTGTTGATTTACATAAATAAATCAATCTCTTTTGCCTGTCAGCCTGTATGGATGAAATAATTGGCATTTGGAACATTCAGAAGCTTTTAAAAGTGAATTATAATTTGGCATGATTATGGATCATCCTTCGAAAAGGCAACCAAGCCATTTCAGATGTGTTGTGGTTTTGAGCATGCATTATTGTGGTTAATCCAAAGGATCTGTACTCAGATGTGAGCTGTAGTAAAGTCACATATAGACACACACTATGTAGATAGGATACTTGAGCTGTGTTATTTTTCCTAGTGAGTTTTAAAAGAGAGAGTTTTACATGTGACAGGAGAAAACTCAGCATTAAACATGGTTTAGTCAATAGTTTCTCTGCAGATTGGGCTCATTACTAATTTTGATGAGAACTGAATTTAGGGTTTATCGCAGAGCTGTGATGAGTCAGCCTATATGCAAAACACTTCAAGTATCTGTTCAAAAACTTCAGGTTTGCTGAGTGAGGGGCAGAGGAGTCCAGATTATTTTCTGTATTGCAGTATCTCCACTTACGGTATCCTTGGAGGATGGACGCAGTGTGAACAGGATGGCTGGTTTTAATCCTCCTGCTTCTCAGAGGTTATAGCTACTGAATCAGATTTTTGAGAAAGAAGTATTTTATTTACTCTACTGATGACCAGGATGGAGAGAGTACTGACTGTTAGGTTATGTAATAAAAGGCCTGTCTGCCCACACACAAAGGAGCGCAGAGGCTGTAGCAAACAGAGGAACCCAAGTAACACAACACCCTTCTGGCAGGCCTCCCAGGACCATCACAGGAGAGCCATAACTGCATCAGAGCAGAGGAGCAGAGACAGGCAGGGGAACCAAAATTACAGACACTCCGATTGTCACCTCCTCGCACTGTGCTCGCTAGCATGGAAGTGCTTTTCTTTCAGCACTGCACCCCGCTTTCATTTTATTTCATCTCACCTCAAACCTCAGAGAAGTATTTGGACCAGAGATCATTGTGCTGTGAGGAAATCAGCCTGTGCAGACACTCTCCTCTGGATAACAGCAGCAAATGATAGTAGTGTCAAGAGTGTGTCCTAGAGGTGCCAGGTTCATAGAAGTCATGACTAGAATATGATCTCTAGAAAGGAGGACTTTCCAAGGGCAGGCTGTTTGGCCTGTCATTTATTCTGCTTTTACAAGAACAAAACCTCTAGGGAAGTGTTGGGGTTTTACCTTTTTCTGACAAAATGCTGATAAGTACTTGAAGGCACAGTAACCCTTAGCAGCCTGTCTCTGACTGTAGCCCATTTCCACACTTCAATTCTGCCTTTTGAAAAAGTTCCCTGCCATTTCCCATCTCAATAAACGTTTGAGGTGCTCTCATTTTGTGTTTGAGAGCTGCTGTCCTGTTGGTACTCGACAGAAAGCTGAGTTTGTGTTCTCACCTCTGAATAATGGGTACAGGAAGACAGTCCATCTGAGGCACACTGTCATTACGGCTGAGCATGCAGTGGTTTTCAAATTTAAAAGATTGGGTTTAAATCTGGCTTGAGTGGCAGGCTAGCAAAGAGGGGTAATTTTGTCTTAGTTTCAGTCACTTTTCAGAGGTCATGCTGTTGTAAAAGTGGCAGCTTGTTCATTGTGTATTAATTAATGCCAGTGCAGTTTAATGATGGGCTTTCAGCGGCGTGCTTTGCCTCCCAGATGGATGGGAGGCACTGCTGAGCGCTCTCCAGAAGAGCACTGCTTTCTTTGATGCAAGGAATCGGGGGCTCTGGTGGGGAGAATCTAAGGACACTTGTTCCAGAAGTCGTGGCTGCCTGTGTACAATTATCAAGCTTGAAAGGCCTTGACAGAGAGGCGCAATAGCCTCTCTGATTGTGATGGATGGCTGAACACATTTTCCTTCAGAGCTGCTCAGAAACAGCTGACAAGTGCAGTTTTAGGAAGGCTTCTGGAGAAGTTTGTTGCTTGTGTCTTTATTGCCACCTTCTGGAAAGGGGGAAGAATTCTTTACTGGATTTCTACAAATATCATATCCTTGAGTTTTTGGCAGTACATCTGCCAACTTCTTTTTCTTGCAGTACGAAGCTTGGCCATGGAAGGCAAAAGTATGTGCAAAGCAAAAATAGAATGCTCTTGATGCTCCTGGAGAGATCACTCTATTTCAGTCTCTTCTTTATTTCATCATTATCTTGCATTTTCAGTAAATAGCTTATCTCCACAGGCACTTTCATCTTAGGGGGCTTGGTTTTTTAGCTTTTTCTTGTCAGCAGTAAGATTGCAGAAAGAAGAATACCTGGGAAAAAGCCATTAGCAAAGCCAGTATTTCTTTGAAGTGCTTTGGAATTTATGTTCACCTTGAATTTAACAGCATCTTTATTTTAATGAAAGCAAGGTGGAATTTTTCACTCATTACTAATCTGTACCCAGCAGCAGAATTGGGAGAGGGAGTGTTTGTTTTTGTGAATTTCAGTAAGAATGTTTAAGTCATGACCAAATATTTTATAATATTCTACTTTCAGATGTGTAACACTGCAACCAGACTAGCTTACTGAAGAATTACTTATAGAGGAAAGGGGGAAAACCCTACTTAATTCATGTTTAATTTGTCTGTTGTTACAATTTATGGAAATAATATTGAGACTTCAAGAAAAGTAGACCCTGATGCATTTGAGAGGAAGAATGCATCAGTGTAAGTAAGGATGAGTAAATTGTATCTTTTGACTGACAATTCTGAGACACAGAAAATAACACACTCAAGCAATATCCAGTATGGTTATTTTATATGCCTGTGTTCTTCATCTATGTATTATATTTTATATAATATTATATATACAATATTTATATATTATATACAGTATAGTAACTATATAAAATGTATGTCTATGTTTAAATACACATATATTTTAATATGTAAACAAAACCAGGGAAACTAGAAGAGGAGCTAGATGGACAGAGGATCTCAGGTGATAAGTTTAGACCATTTAAGGTGATAGAATATAAAGCAATGACTTGCCTGTAGTCACATCTGGGAGTCTGTGGCAGAGGCAGAAGCAAATTGAGGTTTCCAGAATGGTAACCATTAGGCCACTTGTCTCCCCAGTTGTTGTGTCCCCCCACTCCAACCGAAATAGCTTTCTAACATCTCTGCTTCAATTTCTTGCAGAGTTTCTCTAAATATTTCTAGCTCCAGGAATGAAATCCCAGTTTCCTCTATGCTCTCTTAAATTAAACCTTCTTTTTAGCAGCTGTCATCTCAGTAATGAGACTGCCTTCTGCAGTCTGCAAGTAGATTTTAATCCTATATTTTAACCCATGGAAAGCAACAACCTGCCTTGAGCAATTCCTGAGAGGGCTTCTAAAACATGTTACGGTGTGAGGGGGGGCAGTGAAATATTAATGTTGCTTTCAATTTTTTTATATGTTTTTCCATCACAATTGAAATCAGACATGAAGCTGGTGGTGTTAGAGCATTATCTGTTGTGCAGTTAAACACAACGAAGGGGATACTTTAATGAAGCTACACTGGGCTAACTTCTTTTGTGTTTGAGTGTAGATTAAAAGCAGCCTTTACATACTTAATGCCTTGATGCCAGTGTCCCACTGCAGTTGATACCCATTGACAAAGACAGTAATTAGTGTAAGGTTTCATCACAGACCTCTAATTCCTTTTTGGTAAACTGACTCTCTTTAAAAAAAAAAAATGCAGTTGGATTGTGCCATAACAAGATGATGTGTGGTTCTTTTTTTCTTCAGGTGAAAAATGTGTTTTGTATGAAGGCAAAAGAAGGCAGAAAAAAATCAATACGTGCCTTAGTGGCTGTTGGAAATGGTAAAGGTGCTGCAGGTATGTGTGTTTACTGTATGTAAAAGATGCCAAATTAATCATTGTTTGTAATAGGACTTTGTGAGGCATGGCGATTTAAATGGAGTTTTTATACTTAAAAAAAAAAATGCCCTTTTTCCCCACTGGGCAGTATTGAAATACATGTAAGAATTTTTAGTTTCATCTGTAAAAGTAACTTTTATAATCAAATTATGTATGTGTATTAATTTGGACATTTTATTTTGTATTAAAAAAAAAGAAATTGCCAAAAATTGTGCTTGAAGCGTATGTTACCCAGTGCTAAAAACATTTAGTATTTAACTCCAGAGCGATAGAACTAACCACTGATAAATCCTACCAGATTCTAGGTAGAATTAGTATAAATCAGGCTTGGATTGTTTGGGGTTTTTTTCCTTCTCCCTAAGTGTCAGGATAGACCCCTGGAAGTATTACTGGTTTTAGTTAAAAAGGGCTTGTTTACTGGTAGTTTCAGGAAGCATCTTGATTCAGAAATTTTTAATGAATCTGTCAAATCACAAGACCCTCAATTTCCTTCTGATTTAGCCTCTTTAGGAAGCTTTATTATATTATTGAAGTTAATGATGAGAAATAGCTACTTTTTGGGCTTCCTATAAATACTATATTTACACTTTTAGGGAAAAATAGAACACTTGGAGCCCTTTGAGTCTGGTCTCAAAGTAACTTCAGTGATCTGCGACTTGACCAATTTGTAAGCTTTCTTCATCATGATTGTTTTTAACAGTCTCCTCAGCAAGCAATTTGAAGTCTAACCGTAGAAATTATGTCTATGACATAAAGTGAACAGGACAAATCAGAAGAAACATTAAGATTATGAAGAATCTTGTAAAAGAAGCTGTAAGAAGAGACTTTTTCCTTTTCTCTCTCAGCAAAGACAGGAGAAGGAATACTGGTCAGAAGCATTCAGTTTAGTTGTGATTTCCTTGTGAGAGAACTCCAAGCACAATCATGTATGCAGGGTAATGATGACCAAGCTGCCTCTAGAAGCAATCAAACCACACCAGTGCAGTGTCTCACTTGGATTAACTAGCCCTGGATCCCAGCATAAAGGCACTCTGCAGCCACCCTGTACAGCCAGGAGTTTCTTGCATGTTTCCAGTTCTGTTACTGAGGAAACAGTTTTCACTCAGTTTTCAAATACCAGGAATTAAAGACTATTTCATTTTTGTTGCAGAATAAGTTATAATTGAGAAGTACCCTTGAATGTGCTGTTTTTCTCCGTAAGGAGGAGGTGTTCCACACATTCTCTTGTGGATACAAACTGACATACATTAAAATTCCCATTAGACCTCAAATGGACATGGAAATAAGACATCTGTGCAGAATGAGAAGAAGAAACAGCTTAAAAGAATAGAAAATTAGTAGCTCTTAAGTAATTAATCCAAATAATATCATCTAAATGATAGAGAATTCCTGCCTCTATCAGGAGGACATATCAGGAATATGTATTGTATTGCTGGCAGAGTACAGGCAATGGCATTTGTATGTGACTCCAGTAAAGAAAATCCTGCTTCCAATATATATCCAGAGCATCTGCCTTTTGGGTGTGAATAGTCTCCCTTTATAATGAGCTGAATAGATATCTCTGATGATGGGGTTTTTGTGGGAGCTTTAATAAGACAACTTTTATCTCCAGTCAACTACAGTTTTGCAGAACTTAATGGGAAAGATTCAAGTCCAGATGTGTTCTTCAAGGTGACTTTTAATTGCAGTTTTGAGGGGGGGGAAATTTATATATAGGGTCTTGGAGCTACTCTTTGTGCAGACACAGTTGATAGATCTGCATCAGCTTTCTTTCTGTTCTTCATTTCTTTCCTTCATTTTAAGCAGAAGACTGAACTTTGTTTTGGCTGAAGCAGTCGCCACTATTCAGCTCTTTGAAACAAGTTTGGACAAATACACAAAAGAAATGACTGAAGCCTCATTTGTTTTCATTTAACAACAAGCAACTGGCATCTGATCGTTAGATATTTATAACTCCTAACCTGTTACTTTCCAAGTTTTCTGTGTTTGTTTTTTTTTTTCTGGATCATTTTCTGAGTATGATATGTGCAATGGACTGGAAATAACAGATACTAAACATAGTTCTGAAGTTCTGTTTTTCCCTCTTTGCTTTCTGAAGGCCCTGCCTCATCTGTTTCCCAGTAATGAAGTGACTCTGTTCTGTCTTGCAGGGTTTGCACTGGGGAAGGCAAGTGACAGGATGAATGCTCTGAGGAAAGTATGTTGATTGAATTATTTGTTTCTTGATGACAAGCACAAAGAATTCACACCTATGCTTTTTTTTTTAATAATAAGTTATTTTGTAGTTTGCAAAGAAATAAGTCCATCTATATGACTTTTTCTTCTTGGTACAAGTAATCACAGAATCATAGAATAACTTAGGTTTCAAAAAAGACCTTTAAGATCAAGTCCAACAGTTAACCTAAGGACAGCAAGTCCACCACTAAACCCTGTTCCTAAGCACCACATCTGCACATCTTTTCAATACCTCCAGGGTATGGTGACTCAACCACTTCCCTGGGCAGCCTGTTCCAGGGATGCCTGATAACCCTTTCGATGAAGAAATTTGTCCAATCTAAACCTCCCCTGGTGCAACTTGAGGCCTATCAAGTTGTTTGTCCTATCACTTGCCACCTGGGAGAATAGACTGGCACCCACCTCCCTACAACCTCCTTCCAGGTCGT